CCCGTTCGAGATGTTGTATGGGCGGAAGTGCAGAACCCCGATATGTTGGGGTGAAGTTGGCCAGAGAGTCATGGGAAGCACCGAGGTGGTGCTAGAGACGACCGAGAGGATCCAGCAGGTTCGGAGCAGACTTCAGACTGCACAGAGTCGGCAGAAAAGCTACGCCGATAGGCGTCGATCCGACTTGGAGTTCCAAGTCGGGGATATGGTTCTCCTGAAAGTGTCGCCTTGGAAAGGTGTCATTCGATTCAGGAAGCGGGGCAAGTTGGGCCCAAGATTCATCGGGCCGTTCAGGGTTGCAGCCCGGGTGGGCAAGGTGGCGTATAGGCTGGACCTGCCAGCCGAGCTCAGTCAGATCCACAGCACCTTTCATGTTTCGCAGCTGCGGAAGTGCCTGGTGGACGATTCAGCAGTAGTACCATTGGAGGATATTCAGGTTGATGACAGCTTGAATTACATTGAGCGCCCAGTCGCAATACTTGACAGAAAGACAAAGGCTTGAGAAACAAGAGGGTAGAACTAGTAAAGGTGCAATGGCAGCACCGCAAGGGTTCGGAATGGACTTGGGAACCGATGGACGAGATGATGGAGCATTACCCCGAGCTGTTTCAGGACCGGGCAGCAGACTTCGAGGACGAAGTCTAAAATAAGTGGGGGAGATTTGTAGCACCTGGTTTCCGGTATGTGAATTTTATTTGAGCATTGCCCTATTTTAGCCTTGGACTCGGCGAGTCATAAGGTCCGACTCGCCGAGTAGGGACGAGACTCAGGACACGTTTAAGTGGGCGACTCGGCGAGTCCATATCCTGGACTCGGCGAGTCACCGCTGCTGGATGAAACCCTAAGTTTCAAGGGTTTGCACCCTATTTAAACCCTCATTCCGCCCCAACTCGTCCCCATTCACCCCCAGAACTCCCCAACATCGTTTTCCCTTATTCCTTGAGAGATTGAAGTGCTCTTGGTGTGTTCTTGAAGGTTTTGAGGAGAAAGAGGTGTAGATCAAGAAGAGGAGAAGGAGATCAGGCATCTTTGTGTCATTTCAACATATTCCTTGAGGTATAGCTCGTTTCCCCTCTGTTTTCAAGCTTGTAATCCTTTTTTTGCTTCATTGGAGTCCTTCTTGGGCTCTTCCCCAAGCTTGTTTGTGCTTTGTGGGTGATAATAAGTTGTTAGCCTTTAGATCTAGGCATGATTTAGTCCCTGGAGCTTGGATCTATTGCCTTTATGGGGTCATATTGCATGAAAGCCCTAGATCTACCTCTTTTGGTGCACTTTGAGCCTTAAAATCCATATTGGTGAATATCTACACGTAAAGTTGGAAACTTTACGTGTGAATTGTGTCCTAGAAGCCCAGATCTGTGAATGGCATGGACTGGAATCGAGCAAATCGGTGTATTTGATGGATGCATGGCTGCGACTCGGCGAGTCATATATGTGACTCGACGAGTCTGGTCGCGAGTCACTGAACTGGTCCCTTTAAGATGTATCGAGTTGAGCCGTGAGTCACAGGGGGTGACTCGGTGAGTTGGAAGCTGAACTCACTCATGATAGGACTCGGCGAGTCAATGCCCTGACTCGGCGAGTCCAAGGCAATCTTCATAGATCAAGAACAAACTCGGCGAGTTGTTCATACAACTCGGCGAGTCTTAGCATATGTGTTCTTCGGATGAAGATGAACTCGACGAGTTGTTCATACAACTCGGCGAGTAGGATGAAGGAGTTGAATGACAGTTTAGAAGATGAACTCGTCGAGTCATAGCCCAACTCGACGAGTAGAATCAGGGACCCAGGACAATAGTTTGCTAGGGACTCGGCGAGTGGAGATCCACTCGGCGAGTTGGGTCAACTAAAAGTTGACTTCGATTTGACTTAGGGCTAGACCAGGGGTAAAATGGTCTTTTTACCCAAAGGACAGTTAGCAGTGTATGATTAAGTATATTGTGGGAATTACAGCCGGGGAGTTTCCGGAGCAGCAGCAGCAGTAGTAGGTGATCAATTCCCACACAGACCAGCAGCTATTTCGAGGTGAGTTTCCTTCCAGTAGTAACGGGTCTAAGGCACCAAGGCCGGCCCGTATAGATGAGACGTTAGTATTATAGTGTGGGCCGAGCCCGTATCTATTAGTTGAGTTGATTGTGTATATACCAGCATGATAGAACTGTTTACACTTGTTGTCTGTGCGATACTTGTATGATATGAGTTGGCGGTTGAGTGTGGGCGGGGCCCGTATCTCTCCGAGAATGGAGTGTGGGCTAGGCCCGTATCTCCCAGGTAGCGAAGTGTGGGCGGGGCCCGTATCTCTCAGAAAGTGAGGTGTGGGCGGGGCCCGTATCTTCACGAGTGTGGGCGGCCCGTATCTCCTAATTGCATGTTATGTTAAATGCTTGTATGGTATAGGGTATTATGGGGGAGCTCACTAAGCTTTGTGCTTACGGTTTCAGTTTTGGTTTCAGGTACCTCCTCAGCTAGGGGAAAGGAGCCGGCGCGGTAGCAGCATGTCACACACACACTCTTCGATTTCCGCATTTACGAGATTCACTGGGATTGTACTCTGATATTTGATGGGATGTATGGTTTGACTTTTAAAGCATGGTTTGCGATGTGTTATGGTGTGATCAAACAATGTTTTTATTTATTAATGTTTTCTAAAGTAATATTTTAAAATGAAATTTTTGGACATGAAAATTGGGTCGTTACAGTTTCTGTATTAACGATGACATCCCAAACGTTTTAAGATGAATAAAAATATGTTTCTTCGAAAATGTTTTAATAACGTATTTATCGTGTTTTTCTGGGAACAAATTCCGCAACCTTTTTATAAAATGAAGTACTCTGATTTTTATAAAGCATAAACAAAATCGGTCTTTTCTGGCCGTGATTTTGGGGATGTCACAATATGCTAGTTAGGATTAAAGCCTTGGAAAGTTCATATTTGCATGTATAATAGAGAAAACATAGATCCAAGGTTTATAGGGTTGCATGTACACCATAGGAGTGTTAGAATGCTCACAACCCAACATTATCTACACAACAGCAGGAGCTGTTAGACAAGAGATTTATTAGGCCAAGCAGATCGCCATGGGGAGCCTCAATTTTGTTTTTGAAGAAAAAGTACGGGTCGCATCGGATGTGTATAGATTACCGGGAGCTGAATAAGGTAACAGTGAAGAACCGTTATCCCCTCCCGAGGGTTGATGATTTATTTGACCAACTTCAGGGTGCATCTTAGTTCTCCAAGATTGATCTGCGATTGGGTTATCACCAGATGCGAGTCAGGGGACGACGATGTGTAGAAGACAACCTTCCGGACTCGCTATGGTCATTATGAGTTCGTGGTGATGTCGTTTGGGTTCACCAATGCTCTTGTCGCGTTCACGAATCTCATAAACCGTATGTGCAGATCGATGCTGGATCGATCTGTGATAGTCTTCATCGATGATATCTTGGTTTACTCCAAGACTTAGGAGCATCACGAGGAGCACCTGGGGGAGGTGCTGGAGACACCGAGGAAGGAGAGACTTTTCACAAAGTTCTCTAAGTGCGAGTTCTGGTTGCGTGAGGTGCAGTTTCAGGGGGCACCTTGTGAACCAAAAGGGTATTCTGGTCGATCCAGCCAAGGTAGAGGCCATGATGCAATGGGAGGTTCTAAGGTCTCCATCCGAGATTCAGAGTTTTCTTGGCTTGGCAGGTTATTATTAGGGATTTATCCAGGATTTCTCCAAGATCGCTATTCCTTTGACCCGACTGACCAAGAAGTCGGTGACATTCCGGTGGGGGCCTGAGCAGCAGGCAACTTTCGAGACTCTCAGACAGCGGTTATATGAGGCACCGATTCTGACTTTGCCGAAGGACATTGACGATTTCGTGGTTTACTGTGATGCTTCGATCGCGAGTATGGGTGCTGTTAATGCAGCGGGGTCGCATGATAGCGTACGTTTCGAGGCAGTTGAAGCCTCTTGAGGCGAATTACCCGACACACGATTTAGAGCTGGGGGTCGGGGTTTTCGCCCTCAAGATTTGACAACATTACCTCTATGGGGTTCGTTGTACCATTTACACGGACCACATGAGCCCGAGGTATCTGATGGACCAGCCAAATCTGAACATGAGGCAGTGCCGATGGTTAGATGTGTTGAAGGACTATGATTGTGAGATCCTCTACCACTCGGGGAAGGCCAATGTGGTAGCCGATGCCCTCAGCCGTAAGGTAGTTGCAACTCCGATACGAGATATATGCTTGAGGATGACAATGATTGCTCCGTTGCTGGAGCGGATTTGGGAGGCGCAAGTCGAGAGAATGAAGGAGGAGCGCCGAAAGTGTGAGTGGATCATATGCATGGTGGTCTCATTTGATTATGACAGTCGTGGGTTGTTGACCCTGCATCGGAGGGTATGTGTTTCTTACTAGGGTGGTGTACGCCAGGTTCTGATGGATGAGGCTCACAAGTCTAGGTTCTCCATTCATCCCGGGGCGACGAAGATGTATCGGGATCTTCGCCTTGATTATTAGTGACCCTGCATGAAGCGGGACATAGCATGGTATGTGGAGCGGTGCTTGACTTGCAGGAAAGTCAAGGCCAAGCACTAACAACCTCACGACAAGATGCAGTCGTTGGATATTCCTGTGTGGAAATAGGAAGATATCACTATGGACTTCATCAACGGTTTTAATCATTGTAATCCTTGCCTCATATGTTTAGTAGTTTTTATAGTTATGGGTGAGGTAATGAGTTTTAGTCTCGTGTATGCTAATCCGTTTTTCTTCGCCCTCTTTAGATTCTTTTTAATAATTTGACTTGGCGATTCCAGTCAACATGTTTTATCAGCATCAACACGATGATCGGTGATAACCCGCTAAAAGATAAAAATAAAATGTTTTATGAAAAAACTTAGATCTTTTCTGTTGTATTATAGAAAAAAGTCGGGGTGACTTTTATGATATTAAGTATTAACTCAAAAATAAATTAAGATATTTAATTTTTTTTAAGTGGGAATTGAAAACTAAATCTAATAAACAGCCGCCCGAGGAACAAGTCCAAAACATCCGCATGTCAATATCCTCAGATATCATCTCGATCGTCGCCAAACAATTACTCTTTCTTCAATTAATCCCACTATTTTGAATTTTCTCTGTTACCGTTCTAGATTCGCCAACACTCTCTGCAAGATCTGCTTATCGATTTCACTTACAGAGCGAGGTAGAGAGATCTATGGCAAGCGGAGGTGGGTATGGTGATGCTAGCCAGAAGATCGACTATGTATTCAAAGTGGTGCTAATCGGAGACTCTGCGGTGGGTAAATCACAGATACTTGCTCGCTTTGCTAGAAACGAGTTCAGTTTAGATTCCAAAGCTACTATCGGTGTCGAGTTCCAAACTCGAACCCTCGTTATTCAACACAAGTCTGTTAAAGCTCAGATCTGGGACACTGCTGGTCAAGAACGGTAATAATCCTACTTCACGTCTCTTTACTGATTCATGATCTCGCTTGTGATCATTGCGATCGAATGGTTTGTCTTATGATCTGCATTTTGTGTGATCTTAGCTTTGATTTTAGTACATTTATAGATAATGTGTGATTTTGTTGATCTAGATCTTTCGTTCAATTTGCGTAAGGTGAGCTTTTGTTAGCTATGAATGTGTTCCACTTTTTCATTTAAGAAGATAACTCCCATTTTATATGCATCAACAATCTGATTAATTCTACATAACTTGTATCTAGCTCCTAGAAGGAAAAAAAAAATGATTGAACAAAGCGTTAAACTCCAAAGAAGAAATTTATCTTGTTGAAAAGGCATGATTTTGACATTGATGAAAACAGATTTTAGATCCTCCTTTCTCCTTCCATTCTTGATGAAAACAGATTTTAGATCTTTTAACCGATTTTACTCATTTTACCTTTTTACCCATGTACAAACATATTCTCAAGGGTAAAATCGTCCATTTTTTTTTTTGAGAAAACCAGGTACAGAGCAGTAACAAGTGCATACTACCGTGGTGCAGTAGGGGCAATGTTGGTATACGACATAACAAAACGCCAAACATTTGATCACATTCCAAGGTGGCTAGAAGAGCTAAGAAACCATGCAGACAAAAACATTGTCATCATTTTAATTGGAAACAAAAGTGATTTAGAAGATCAAAGATCAGTTCCAACAGAGGACGCCAAAGAATTTGCTCAAAAAGAAGGATTGTTCTTTCTAGAAACATCTGCTCTTGAATCAACAAATGTAGAAGATGCATTCTTGACTGTTTTGACTGAAATTTTCAGAATTGTGAACAAGAAAAGTTTGGTTGCAGATGAAGAACAGAATGGGAATACTGGAAATTTGGCTGGAAAGAAGATTATTGTTCCGGGTCCCGCTCAAGTGATTCCAGAAAAGAAGATGATGTGTTGTAGTTCATAAATTTGTTGTTGTTATGAATGAATGAATGAATATCTATGGAGATTATTTGTTGCTATGAAAGTATGAATAGTAGTTTTTTTGTGGGTGATGATATTTTTTGTGTCGATTCTTTTGTTGGTGTTGAAGAGAGAAGAACAACATGAATGATGATGCCATTTGTGTATGTTTTGACTATATTAATGTTTTGCAATTTGCATGAGTCAAATGGTTAAATATTGGGTTATTTCATTTTGTTATTATGTTGTTAACTTGTTATATTTGTGCTCAAAAATAAATTCTAGATGGATCTTGTGGATGTAACACAAACTCAATGAATTATGGCAAAATTGATCTCAATGTAGAAAAGTGATGATCATGCTTGATAACGATTGGATCATAATATTTCATTTTCTATGTTATTATTTTGTACATTGGATTCACTTAGTTCATCAATTTACATCATATCATCATGTTAATCGGTTTTTTTAATTGGTCTTAATGTATCCCATGTTTTATTATTATTGTCAATAAACTTTACATATTTTACTGGTGTTTATGGTACGTTAAAATGTAAGATGAAATGGAATGAACTGTTTCATTGTGGTTCAAAAATATTATTTATTTTTTATAACAATTATATATTTATCAATAATTTTGCTTATCTAAAAAATTTATATTTAAAAATTTATTTTTAATTTTCGCATGACCTTCAAAACCAAAAACCGACCGTGGTAAAATCTTGTTTTTAAGTTGTTTATAAGGTGTACTTTAATTCAATCTGACTTTTAATATTTGTATATAAAAACGGAAACTTTGAAGACCACGAAATATCGAAAGTGATTTCATTGGTTTATTACCAACCCACCCAAATGACAAATAGATGATTTAACCGACCCATTGTGTTTGTGATAAATAAAATAAGTCCAATCAATACCCACAAATCACAATAATAAGAAACCCCTATAAAAAAGTGGAGACAATTCATTCGCAATTGGTGATGATATTTAATATTTTGAAAACATAATTAGGATGTTTATACACTTATAAATATTTTAGGGTTAATCATTAAGATTAAGATTGGTAGAGTCTTGTAACAAAATGAGTAATGTTTATTGTTCAACCAAATATTACAAATAAACCTTCTACTTTGCAATAGAAGCTTTACTAAATGCTTTTTTTTTTGGCCAAATCGTTTTATGAATGAACTTACTAAAAAAATGAAGAAAATAATTCTACAAAAGTAATTAATACAACAAACAAAAATTGTTAAAGTATATTTTACAAAATGAATAATCATTTGTACTAACACCATCGGGAAGGGTCAACACTAGAACATTATATAATCTATGTCTTATAGGGTTCCATCGAAAAACAATATTCTTCTTAGTCAAACGGGTCAATATCATTGTAATCTTAGGAAAATCATGGATAAACCTCCTATAACACCATATTAGACCAAGAAAACGAGAACCTTAGAGGGATTCGTTAGGACCTCTCATTGCATTACCCCCTCATTTTTTGTCGAATCAACCAAAATATCCTTTTGGTTGACGAGGTGCCCTAAGAACTGGACATCTTGCAACCAAAACTCATACTTCGAGAATTTGACATATAACTTATCCCTCTTCAAAACCTCACAAATCTCTCTCATACGTTCCCTATGTTGCTCATTTGTCTTTAAAAGACCAGAATATCATCAATGAAAATGATCACCGATCAATCGAGCATAGGTTTGTATATATGGTTTATCATGTCCATGAACGCAACGAGTGCATTGGTGAGCCTGAACGGCATCACCACAAATTCATAATGATTATACATAGTTTTAAAGGTTGTCTTCAGTAAAACCTCATCTCTCTCACTCGCATCTAATGATAACCATACCATAAATCAATCTTGGAGAACCAAAATACACCTGAAGCTGATCAAACAGTTTGTTGATCCTTGGTAGTGGATAACAATTCTTGACGAACAAAATCGGTGCTCCCTGAGGTGAATTGATCGATCGAATAAACTCATTGTCCAACAACTCATGTGTAACACCCTGTTTTCACTTTACAATATATTTTAATATAAATGTTTGTTTATGAAATTCAAAGTGGAAATATATTACTTTTTAGCCAAAGTAATCATCATGAAAATTATAGTAGACGTTAGTATGACTTGTGAGTATAAAGAACAAAAAAAATCTAACATCGTCTAAAGAAGGTATGAATTTCATAAGATAATTTCACTATATATATATATATATATATATATATATATATATATATATATATATATATATATATATAAAAGATATTGTTTATATAAAATGAAAGAGGAATTTATTATGATTTAGATAGAGTAGTCTAAAAAAAATTTGTAGTACTCGAAATTACGAAACTATAGATATAAAGAATGTTGAAAATGGAGATCGTATGAGAAAGTTACAATTATGCAAAAAAGTAGAAAATAGCATAAACCTAAACTGAAGGCAGTTGGAAACACTTGGCTGCCAAGCCACTACATGGCAACACCAGGCGTGCTTTTCTAGTTTTTAGACCTCTAAAAAGGGAGGCCACCCATCCTTCATTTGTTGCCCCATTCTTTTCCAACAATATTCTTTTTCTCTTCCCCTGGAGCATTTTGGTCCCTCGTGATTTGACTTCTTGTTCTGTAATATGGTTAGCGAAGCTTAGGAGATTTCGAAAGAATCTAATAAAGTAGGTGTTGAAGTTCTGCTCGTGGATATTCGGATTTCATCAAATAAAGTAAGTTATATTTACTCCCATCTATATTTGATTGTAGTCATAATCGTTGTTATGAACCTATGAGTACTAGATCAGTCATTGATTCTAGTTAAAAGTACCGATTAATCTACTTATGGGAGAGGTATCTAGGACAGATATGTTGGCATGGTTGCTAGATTTCATAAAAGCTATACGTTGAAATGTCCTGCCTCCCGACTATCTTGACTGGTTGATCCTTATTGATAGTCATTCCAATATTGATAGGATTGGTAAAGGATCTAGAAATTAGTCTTTATATTCCATAGATATTAATCATTTTTAGTATTATAGGTTAATACATGTTTTGTGCACCTGTTCCCTGGTTGTATAGTTGTTAGGCGTTTGAGAAATTGTTCAGTTGATTTTTATTACTATACTACATACTGCAATATATATCCTATGTATGTTAGGATGTAGTTACACTATAGTACGTTGTTAGGCAAGTAGAATAGTTTAGTTAGTTGCATGTTGTGTTGGATAAGGTTTGTTTGTATGCATATATTAGGAGTTAACGGTGGAGCGATGACATGTCGTGAGCTTATATACGTGTGTTGATGACGGAACACTGATAGGCCTTGAGTCCAGGTACACATGTTATCAGTGGAATGAAGAAAGGTCATGAGCCATGGCTGTACGCATTGTATATGTATTGTGATATATGATATCTTAGGGAACTCACTAAGATTTGGCTTACATTTATCGATTAACTATTTTGCAGATACTTCTTCAAATCGTAAGAAGGATAATGTTTGACTATATGCGCGTATCGACATCATGTATCAAGATTTCAGCATATTCTATTTTATACTCTGATTCGAATAGTAGGGTCTATGTTTTTACAATGATCGAACAAAAGGTCTTTTATTATTACCTTTAGAAATTATGTTTTTGACAAATGAGTTGTAACGTCCCTATTTTTCAACCCGAAATTTTCATTTTTATTTATTAAAAGATATCATAGTATGATTACATTGTGCGAAAACATGTTCTGAATGCGCATGTGTACAGTCGAGTCACATGAGTACCTAAAAAACATTTATATTCAACTGGGTAAGCACGAAGCTTAGTGAGTTCCCAAAATACTTTATACTACAATACATATACATGAGTACGAATAATGGCTCCCATACTTTGTTCGTTCCACCATCATCCCTAACTAAACCTACGTGGGTCTATAGGCACACGTACTTTGGTCATTCTACCATCGAACCTAGCTAAATCCATGTGGATCTATAGGCTCCAATTCTTTGGTCGTTCCACCATCAAACCTCTAACTAACTGTAGCACCTGGTTCCTGGTACGTATTCCTTGTATATAATATTTCTTAAATAATACATTTTTCCTTGGACTCGGCGAGTTGAAGGATCAACTCGCCGAGTAGAAGCGGGATGATACGCAGGGTCTAAGCTTTGGACTCGGCGATTCGGTTCCCAGACTCGGCGAGTAGGCCCTGTTTGGTCAAAAACCCTAACCCAGGTGTTTGCACCCGATTTAAACACTCTAACTCGGCCTCCCTTGTCCCTAACACTTCCAGAAGAGTTGTAGAGCGAAACCCTAGCCCCTTTTTGTCCTTATGAGTGACTTTTGGCCTGGTGAAGGAAGTTTGAAGCTTAAGAGAAGAAGAAGGAGGTGGAAGAGTGTAATGAGGGGAAGTAGATCTGACATCTACCCTGCAAGAGGCTTCCATTCAGGTAGAAAAGTCCCTACCTTGATCACTATTTCATTAGATTCCCCTTTTGTACCTAATTGGTGGTTTTCAAGCCCTAAAACACCAAACTCCATGTGTTTGTCCTCTATGATCCAAAAGGACTTCAGATCTAGACCTTATGGACGTATTAGAAGTATAAAGTCTCTGTGGTTGAAGTGATTAAGGTCCTTATTGAGTGTATGACCTCATAAAGAGATTGGAGTTGCCTTTTGGAGCTTATAGGGCCATGCATGCACGTAAAGTTTGCAACTTTACGTGATAAGCATGTTGGATTAGTGTCTAAGCCCGTAACCATATTTGGTAAATACTTGACCCGATTGTGCATGATCCTTTTGGGTTACCTTCACCAAAGCAACTTGACTGGAGAAATAAATAGAGACATAGGTTATTATGATCTATTAATTTGTTATAAGAATAATATATTAAAGGAGAAATCATATTTGTTTAATTAATATTGGTCAATAATTAATTAGGAATTAATTTTGTGATCAAGTGTAATTAATTAAA